CGGGAGAATACGTCTCATAATAGTATTCTTGTTTTTTGAATTAAGTATCGTTCTAGTGACTACCAGTAAATCAGTAGTATGAGATGTATTCATCCAATTGCGTTTAATCTGATGAAGGACTGGTAGAAGAAGAATTTTCCCACAATGATATGAGTTGAGCTGACGTTTCCATTCAATTTCATAGTCCACTCGCTTTCCCAAAAGTTGTTCTTATCTAGGATGTGAAATTGAATGTAAACGTCAGCTCAACTCATATCATTGTGGGAAAATTCTTCTTCTTCTACCAGTCCTTCAAAACCTTAAACGAAATTGGGTGAATACATCTCATATGACGTATGCTTGTCCTACATGCATGCAAGTGGGTCAAAGTGGAACAGGAGGGGCGCGGATGTGGCCACAACTTTTGTGTATGTAAATAAACTAGAGTATGGAATTCGGTTGACCTCTTTGTTGTCAGGGCGACTTGATAGAACGCACCTAGTCCGAAATCGTCTGCCATAGCAATTGTCATGTTTCGCCGGCATCGTAGACGGCATCAGCGGTGGGTTTCGCCATTCTCCGCAACGTTTGAGAATGTACCAAGTCGACTGTTTGATGCTGGGAATCATGGCAACTACTATGGCAGGCGACTTCTGACAAGGTGCGTTCTATCAAGTCGCCCTGACAACAAGACCAAGTTGCGACAACAAGTTCAACCCACTTCTACAACAAGAAAGGAGACTGCGACCACACCGAAGGTCACACGATCTTGGTCCTCATATCTTAAACGAGAGTATGATCCAATATTCGTGGTTCTTGTCGCAGCAACAACCCCCAAATTGATTGACGATTTTAGCTTCAAAAACAGACTCCAGCTTAATCGAGGGTATGAAAACCATTATTTGTGTGACCCTTTTATTGTATAGAAGTTGTTTGACCTTGGTTCCGCAACTTGGTCATGCTAGCACGAAGACCTTGAGGAGCGCAGCTTGTCCGGAGTCCATACAGGGCATAGTAACAGCCAGAGCGCCTAGACTCGGATTCCCATGTTTGAGGATAATAGGCATTAGCTCGACGCATCATCTCCTTGATTGAACACGGGCACTTTGAGCGAACTGTAGACGTCATTTTTTTACTCAAAAATGATTATTCGTTTTTGCGGCAAACTTCATGCATAAAAGGTGTGACTGTATTGAGAATAATCACCAGATAGATTGTATGAGTCTTTTAAAATCTCTTTACTGTCAAGTCAGTTAATCAAACACGAGTAGTCACGGCTTAATTTCCTAACCCCCTTTCCTCAAAGTCAATGTAGCCTCAATCTGGTCTGACCCCATTTTCGTAACTCGGCCGAGTTGTCAGGACGACCTATTTGGACTCAACTCGCCCAACGTTCTTTGCTTGAGTGGTTATGATGGTTCCCAGCCTCGGAGCGTAGACATGGTATCCGAGGATAGCAGAACCCCTTGACGACGCAGGCGAAACGTCTTAGAATGTACCTTGTCCACGATGGGACGCTGAGGTTCGTGATAAATACGATATCAGACGACTTCGGACAAGGTGCATCCAATTAATTTGCTCAACCACACAACCAAGTTGAGAAATGAGGTAGCACCTCTTCCATACAACGAAGGGAGACTTCGAACAAAATTCTTGGTCGGCATATCTACGCAGTGTTAATTTGTCTATTCAAGTGATCTTTTTACTTTTGCGCAAAGCCGAAACCTATTCGCAAACCGATAGGTTTGGATCTATTCTATCCCATGTCAAATGCTTTCTGGAATGTCAGCCACCTCTGACCTTTGTACCCAACAGGCTCTACCAAACATGGATGTGTTGACAATAGGTTGGTGGATATCCCAAACATGGAAACGACTGCATAAAGACACATTTTGTAGCAGCCTAATTTGTTGTTTTTTGTTTTTTGCTATATTTATATATATATCTCTTTATTTATTTATTTATTTATTTAATATATTTATTAATGTATATATATATATATATATGTAGCTGCCTAATTTGTGCTTTTTGTTTTTTGCTATATTTATATATATATATATATATCATTATTCATTTATTTAATATTTTTATTTATGTATATATATATATATATATCTGTAGCAGACTAATTTGTTTTTTTGTTTTTTTCTATATTTATTTATGTATATATTTATTTAGGTATATGTATGTATTTATAGATATAGCTGGTGTTCATTTTTTTCACTCAAATATGATGACGTATGAACAATGCAAATTGCGATGGCGATTTGTCATTCTTTGATTTAATTATTATTTATTTAACACCAAATTCCTGCAAGAATTATTTGATTCGTAGTGCAATGGAGCAACGAATGGAGCATAGAAACCCACCTTGAATTTCGGGAAGAAGAGGTAAAATGTGTAAAGGATTGGCAACAAATATAGATATATATATATATAAAGAGGATGGTGACACTTATTCAACTTTGGTGGCCGAAAGTGGACATTACTTTTCCGTTCTAATCATTTTGGCCCATTATGCCTGTTTCCGAAAATAAACAAACACAGAAAGACACATAAACACACACAGATCGACAAATTCACAACTCAGACTAACTAAACCACTTTATACTTCATCAAAGAATTTAGACGTAGATTATAAATTCAGTCCTTATGGATGAGCCGGCGATTTTTCTCGACTCCTTAGCTTGAATAAGGTTGTAGGGATGATGTCCTTCGCTGATATTGTACATCATGTGACGGACGAAAGCTCACCAGGTTTACACCGGAAGCGAATGAAAGGGTTCCGGTAAAGCCAATCAGCAGTTGGTCAAGTGAAATCCGCCATCCTCTTCTGGTGGAACCGACCTTCGAATCTCTTCACGCAACACTTTCACTCGAAATGGAAGTAAGCTCAACAGCTGAGTTTCTCTAGACAAATCTAAGTCATTCAGGTTACCATATGGTTCATTACTTGGCGATTCTCAGATGAGTTGAAACAAGAGATTCCTCGAAACACAACTTTTCTTCGCATAAAATAATCTCATACTTTTCAAGCGTGTGTGTGTGTGTATGTGGGTGTGCAGTGCATCAATCCTATTGCTTGAACTGATATTCCACCGAAAAGTGTGCTGTACGTCCCGGTTCGGTGGATATCTGTTTCAGGCAGACAAGGCTTGCTACCGCCGAGCAGTCTGGACGAGAGAACGGCAGCCCGATTGGAACAACTGAAGCAAAATGTACCGATTATGCACTTGCAATACGCTCACAGGTTGGACAAGTTCACTTTTGTGATTTCATGCCGTGCCATGCTTCACTTTTTTCCCGAATTGAGCCAATTCTATGCATCCTACCACACCAGGGCGGAAGCAGTCTTCATCCGCTTCATGATCCCTCCGCGCGATCGACCAATCAACTGGTGACTTTGGCTTGTTCTGTCGCGAGGATCAGCAACGTACAAGTTTTTGCCCTACACATTCCTACAATCGTCTAGCATAACCAGCGTTTTATTGTTCATTCGAATTTGACGGCATCGTTTAATTTATACATTTTCAATTTGAATGAATACATACATGATGATTAACATTTAATGCATAATAAAGTATTAAATTATTTGTTAACATTAGTCGCCTTATAAACGTTTTCAGCGCTACATCCTTAATCTAATGGCTGCTGAGTATATGTTTTCAGCGAGTGGATAAATGAAATTCTCATATTATTCTGGGCAGTAAAATGATAAGCTTTGAAAG